CTGTTCCTGCAACCTTTGGGTGGCATCGTTGTGGCACTGCAGGAGGCTCAGGATGGACATGTCGTCTGAGGAATGGGAAGGAGAGTTGAAATGGTTCGCGACTGGGAGGTGCAGTTGTTTATTGCGAACCGAGCGTAGGTGTTCTGCAAAGCGGTCCCCGAGCATCCGATGTCCATCCTGGGCCTCCTGCAGTGCCACAACGATGCCACCCGAAGGTTGCAGAAACAGCAACTCATATTCCGCTTGGGAACCCTGCAGCCCAATGGTATCAATGTGGATTTCACAAGCTTCAAAATCTCCCCTCCCCCGACCGCATCCCAAAACCAGTCCAGCCTGTCCCTGCCTCCCTAACCTGTCCTTCCTCCCACCTATCCCCTCCTCCCACCTCAAGCCCCACCCCCATCTCCTACCTACTAACCTCATCCCGCCCCCTTGACCTGTCCGTCCTCCCTGGACTGACCTACCCCCTCCCCAACTCCCCACCTACACTCACCTTTACTGGCTCCATCCCCGCCTCTTCGACCTGTTTGTTTCCTCTCCACCTATCTTCTCCTCTATCCATCTTCTATCCGCCTCCCCCTCTCTCCCTATTTATTTCAAAACCCCCTTCCCCTCCCCCTTTTCTGATGAAGGGTCTAGGCCCGAAACGTCAGCCTCTTTGCTCCTATGATGCTGCTTGGCCTGCTGTGTTCATCCAGCCCTGCACCTTGTTATCTCAGTACAATATACCTTCAGAACAATCATCATTCTCAGAATATTAATTTTATGGGGATTACATGGTGAACACAAATTAGAAATTGTTATAGATACCTGCAATATCATGGCTGTATTTTAAATTAAGGGGACAGCAGATGACCATAAACTAATGGAGCAACTCACTGGAGATTAAGTTGAGATACGTGAGATTGAATTACTGTATTATTGTTCACTGCCAACCAGCTCGGATACTGCATATAGCTACTCTTAAATCATCAGAAAAGAAATACAATCACATAAAAATGACTATTTAAGCTGTAAAATTATTTAAGTGTTTTTTTTAAAAGACTGTAGGTACTCCAAGAGGTTACCACATTATTTGTTTGCCATAGAGTCATACAGCATGGAAACAGACCCTGTATCCATCAAAATAATCCTGAACTCATGCAAAAGAGCCTGTAACAGATTGTGTGGAAGTCTTTATAATTTATAGTCACACAGTTAATGCCAATTTCAAAAGTAACACAGAAACAACTGGAGTACCAAGCATTAAAGGGGCCGTGCATCCAAGATGGAAACTTTGAGGCCAATGTGACAATAAGTAATGGAGAGAAACCAGCTCTAACTGAGGGATCAATTGGAAGTGTTCCAGAGAGCTAAAGAGAAAGAACTCGCCTCATTCACAAGAATCTTTAAAAACTTAAGATCTGAGCATGGAAGAATTGTCCATTCCTCAGATGCAATCATTCATTCAGGGCATCCAAACATGATCCAAATAAATTATTATTAATCAACTGTGAGCTCCTGGTGACTGTCAGTACATTATTGCAACAATACATCATTCACAGGGGAAAGAGAACCCAATCAGAGCTAATGATTACAGTAACTTAAACAGGCAAAAAAGGGGAAAACTTTCCATCAGCCAAATACAAGTGAACAAGTTCAATTAATACCAGGTTTGCATGGCCTGTTAATATAATGTTTCTTTCGAATCATGCAAAATCAACTTGCTTCATTAATATCTTTACAATGGAAAAATATCACAACATATTTTACAGATGCATAATTAGCAAAAAGAGATACAGGCGTTAGGAGGAAATGTTAGGTGGGGAGATAGAAAGCTTGGACAATGATGCATGATTTAAGGATTGCCTAGATGGAGCAGAAAGAGTTGGATGTGCAGATGAATATAATTCCAGCGTGTAAAGACTGAACTCTCTACTGTAGGAAGAAAGATGGAGATGAACAAAAGCTAAATGTAGAGGAATGGATGGGTTTTGGAAAATGGCTTGCTAATATTGTAGGGAAGATTACAGAGATAGGGTGAGGCAAGTCCATGCACACAAACAAGAACTTTAAATTGGAAACACTATAGATGTAGGAGCCAACACGGGTCAACAAGGACAGACTGTAAGAGGTGAACCAGGCCTTCTACGGGATAGGGCATGAGGAAGCAGAGATTTAGATAAGTTGAAGTTTATGGAGAATGAAAGATGGGAAGGAAGAAAAGACAGCAATGGAACATCCAAGGTCAGAAAGGCACAGATGATGGCCAAGGAGAGATACAGAATTAATAATATGCCTTGAATTTTGCGTAACCTCAGATTGAATATTTTAAAGAGTGGACCAAGAGAGAGAAATTTATTTTCAGACTAGACCCCAGAAATACATTATAATCCATTTTGAACAGATGGATACCAGAGATCCTAACACAAGAGGACAATACAAAAATATTCTAGTCTGGTAACAGCACAAAGTGTGTAGAAAAGGAGTCACCCAGTTCCATTCATCGCTTAGTATTTCAACCTCCATACATGCATCACTCTGATTTTCCCATAATGTTAATTGTCGGCAATTTTCTTTCCCTCCAAACAGGCAAGGACTAAACTTTAAGGTGGTTCGGGGTGATTTAACAAAGTTGCTCAAAATTATATGGGGTTTCAACAACAAGATAGGGAGAAAAAAAGTGTCAGTAATCAGAGAACACAAATTTAAGCGCTTGCAAAAGGACAAGAACTGATCACATGTTTGAAAAGTTTTGCAGGATAATGGGAAAAGAGAAAGTGGAGCAACTTAAATAGGTTTCTCAAACAGCCAGGTATACTGGACAGAAAAGTCTCCTTTCTGTGCTGTGTGCATCTATCTACAATTGGAATAATCTTGCAGGATACAGGAACATTAGGAATGCGAATAGGATGCATGTAGAACTGGGGCAAAACCTACACCTTGTCACTCAATCTTAAGCTACACTGAGCAATCTTTCTTCTCTGGTTGGCCTGTTCAGCCATTTCAGCCTAAAGTCTTTTGGCTGAATATGGACACACATTGAAAAATTGGCCCACCAAGTATTTAGCAAATTGCTAAGTGCAGGAGCTAGGTAATGACCAAACTATTAGCAGTTTGTAAATTCAGAGTACCACCTTGTTAAAAAGTGCCCATTTGATGCACTTATTTCACCTTGAAAGAAATATGCCAACACTTAAGACAGTAGGAAGTAGAAAGACTGGCCCTTCATTGTCAGATTCAGCCCAGAAAGAAAGGTCACAGTTACAGACATTAACACTTGCCTCTAGCAGTTTCCTTTAACTGTTCAACACAGCGTTCCACTAGCAAGCCGAATATGGCCAGTCCAAGTGCCGTGGCATGTTCCTGTATCACTGATCGGCAGTTCTCTGAACCAGAATCTAAAACACCACAGAAGAGAAACAGAGACAGCATTAGGTTTATAGTCAGAAAGGCCCAAATAGTTAGTCACTAATTTTACTGAACAAACTCCTTTTTCAAAGGCTTGGAAAAGTTTCACCTTCATTAGAGTGGTTTGTTTTTAAAAATATTTTTCTATGCCATTACCTCACCACAACCGGCAACATGCTAACAGCATTCCTCAAGAATAAATTACTGGTTATGTATCATTTTGGGCATGAATGGTACACAAAATGATTTCATTCCAGGTTTCCAACATCCTCATCATTTTGCTTTTATATATACACATTTATATATAATCGAATCCAAACCTACTAAAAAACAGATATTTTCAGGTCTGACAAAAGGTTCCAGTTGAAATGCCATCCTGTCTTCTCTCCTTTAAATGCACAACAGCCTTGTGTGTATTTTCATTATGTTTTGTTTCCATTGCAGAGGAGATTAAGATTGTATGTATTATAAAGCAGAACGTGATCAAGACTTCATTGAACAGCCAATCATAGAAAAGGAAGAAATTGTTATCAGGTTCCTATTACTTCTAGTGGAGATTGGTCCACACCATCAAAACGATGGGAGCTTTTGAACTCAGAAAGAAACTAATTCAATGATCTGAGGAGTGGCCTAGGATCACTTTCAACTTAGCTCAATTCTTCTTTCATGTCCTCCAAGAGATAGTTGCTTCCATAAACAGATGGACTCTCAAGAAACAAGCACAATCGTTGGCTTAATAATGAGTTATGTTTGACATCTCAAAACATGTTATCACTAACTCTTTTCAAATGAGCCAACTCAAATCTTATGGATATGACATTTCCAACATAAATTGCCTGAAATGAATTCCCATAATAACTTTGATTTCTGTGAGGCTTCACACTCATCTCCTTCAGCCACAGCCCCTTCTCAGATACTGCCAATGGTTTCCCCTCTCCCCAGCTTTCAGGAAGCCATTAATACTTCAGGCCTCAAAAAACTGGGCGCGAAACATTAACTCTGCTTTCTCTCCACAGATGCTGCCAGATCTGAGTTTCTCCAGCAATTTCATTTTTGTTTCAGATTTTCAACATCTGCAGTTCTTTAATTTTACATCTAAACTAGCACTTACAATGAGGCACATGACCCATGAGTAGAGACTGAAGAAATGGGGAATCTTTGCATGATAGGAAAAGGCACAGTAAACAAGGCCTCACTGTGATCTGGATTCACAAAAGTGTACGTGAGCAGCTATTAAATCTCAAACTACCTAAAATGCCTTCCAGTGATGTTACTAGGTAGTCCTTGTACTTCACCAGAGTGCTGAAGTGGTCAGGTCAGGAGCCTAATTGCTCGAGTACCCCAGCATCTAGAAAGTTAACATTCACGGGCTATTCAGTGGATTTCCAGAGTGCAGGTACGAACACGACTCCACTAACCCTACATCAGCAATGAAATAGGGAGGGGCTATTATTTTAGTTCCCAGACCAAATTGATGCACGGGTGGGCCCTACAGGAACAAAACTAAATAGATCACTAATTCTTTCAATCATGACAGAGTGCCAGGTTCAACAGCACTAAGTAGAGATGAGGTTAATGAACAGAGAGTAGTAAGGGCGTGGAATGCCCTGCCCGCAAAAGTAGTAGACTCGCCAACTTTAAGGGCATTTAAATGGTCATTGGATAAACGTACGGATGATAATGGAATAGTTTAGGTTAGATGGGCTTCAGATTGGTTTCACAGGTCGGCGTAACATCGAGGGCCGAAGGGCCTGTACTGCACTGTAATGTTCCATGTTCTATGTTCTAAGTGTTTATAGCACTGAACATGAACACCTGCAGGGCATGTATGGTACTGACTCTCCCCAAATACTTTGTCATAAACTGAAAGCAAACTGCATTCCCATTCATAATGGTCACATTATGGCAGTGAGACTCAGTTGCTGTGGATGAGCTGATGGGAGAAGAGCCAGATCCTTGATAAACATACATCCCACACTTATCACACTGGAAACCAGGTGAGAAAAGTAAATGAGTTGCCTTATGCGCTGGACACTTTGCACCAGAGCTCACAACCTCATATATGAAACAAGCCAGCAGACCTGCTGCTATTGTGGCAGAAGATGGCCATGTCCAGATGGTGTTGGAGTTAATAAAAGATTGGTACGGAATCTTTAATGTGCCTTTATAGTGTTTCTACCACAGTAGTCTAGATAAGACAACATTCACATTAAGAGTACAACTGTGAATTATGCCAATCACAAAGCACCAGAAGTACACAACTTGAGAAGGAGCACAGTCTTGGGCATCGCACCAGCAATGAAATTACATTAAATTAGAATTACTACTACAACATCTACCAGTCAGTCTAATATCACCGTTGACTGAATTGTACTATACCAAGGCATTTCGGGTCTCAACAAAAAAAACATACAACCTGAAGTTCATCCCACCTGTACATCCTCCAAATGGAACACTGTCCAGATAATAGAAAGGTCGCAAAGACATTGTTGGTGTGTTAACATGTTGCATGTGGCAGGATATTGTTGAGTAAATTTCAAGGCAAGTGGCATGGGAAGCAAGAGCAGAAAAGATGCCCTCTCACTATTGAAATGCAAGGCAGACGAAATGAAGGAAAGCAAGGAAGGAGAAAAAGAGAGGAGGCAGAGAGAAGCGGGTGAGTGAGGTATAGGGAAGAACAGGAAACAGAAGCTACGGCCAGGGTAGGGTGGGGAGGTGATGCAGATACCAATTCAGACACATCAAGGAGTTTAATCCACCACAGGGGGGGAGATAGAACAGTTAGGAAAACAGGCTGCACTGTGCAAGTGAAGTCATGCACAAACTGGCAAGGAACAGTGGAAATTAACAAGTTGAATTCAAGGTTTAGGTCTAAACTGAAAGGGTAGACAATGAAATTTGTACAGTCAGCATAGGAGAAAGACCAGCAGCAAAAAGCAATAGTTCAAACCTGATCGTTGCTGTAGTTACATCTTTTTATTGTGAGACAGAGACAGAGAGAGAGAGAAAGAGGTCTCATACAGAGTGCAGCAGAGAGGCAGACAGGCAGAGTGCAAGACAAAGACAGACAGACAGACAGGGAGGGAGGGAGGCAGAGAGACAAAGAGAGACAGACAGAGGGAGAGATACGGAGTGAGAGAGAGATAGGTACAGAGACACACAAGAGAGATAGAGACAGACACCCAGCAAGAGAGGACAAGGAAAACGGAGACAAAATAAATACTGCTAAGGATGAGTAAGATTCAGCCTGATATGGTGAACATTGTGATTGATACGGACCTTTTAAGACACAATTCAAGGCAGAAGCACAGACTTTCTTGGTGAGGTTGAGGTTTTTTTTAAATTTGTTCATGGGATTTGGATGTCACTGGTTAGGCCAGCATTTATTGCCCATTCTTAATTGGCCTGACCATGATAGTGGTGAGCTGTCTTCATGAACTGTTACAGTCCTTCTGATGTAGGTACACCACAATGTTGTTAAGGAGCGAGTTCCAGAATATGGACCCACCAACACTGAAGAAATAGCAATATATTTCCAAGTCAGAATGGTGAGTTACTTGGAGATGAAGTTACAGGTAGTGATGCACCCATGTATTTGCTGCCCTTGTCCTTCAAGATGGTAGAGATCATGGGTTTGGCAGGTGCTGTTGGAACAATTTTGGTGAATTGCTGCAGCGCATTCTGTAGATGGTACACGCTGCTATCACTGTGCATTGGTGAAAGATACTAAAGTTGAAGGCGATGGATATGGTGCCAATCAAGCAGGCTGCTTTGTCCTGGATGGTGTCAAGCTTCATTGATGGCATTGCACTCATTCAGCAAATGAAGAGTATTCCATCATACTCCTTATGTGTGCCTTGTAGATGGTGGATAGGTTTTGGAGAGTCAGGTGAGTTACTCATTGCAAGACTCCTAGCCTCTGACCTACTCTTGTAGCCACGGTATTTATATGACAAGTCCAATTCAGTTTCTGGTTAACGATAACGTTCAGGATATTGATAGAGGGGATTCAAGTGGTGGTAATGCTACTAAATGCCAAGGAGTGATGGTTACATTATCACCTGTTATAAACGATCATTGCCTGGGACAAATGTTACTTACCACTCGTCAGCACAAACCTGGATATTGTCCAGGTCTTCCTGTATTCGGATCTGGACTGCTTCTGTATCTGAGAAGTTGCAAATGATGCTGAACATTGTGCAATCACCAGCAAACACCCCTACTTCTGACTTGGAATGTAGGGAAGATCATTGATAAAGCAGTTCAAGTCAGGTATTCCAAACATGGTGAAAAAGGAGATGACTGAAGCTGTCACCATATAGGTGGGCTTTAGAATAGTCTGTGTTATAGATGTTTAGCAACTGAAACACAAGCCAATTCTGTGTACCATGAGAAACATTTAACTTCTACAGCTGCAGCATTTGTGTATTTTAGGTACAAAATTGAAATTGTACATCAGAATCTAAATACAAGGAAGGGAAAATAGGGACTGAATTCCCCACCCATCCTCCCCATTTTATCAACGCAAGGAATGTTAAGGTTTGCAACACTTTGCTGCTACTCAATGAGCACAGATGGGGTGAAGCATTGAACAAAAGAGTAAATCTGCTGTTACTCTGAATGAGATGCTTTCACTAAAGCTCAAAACAATACCCTTCATTATATCTGTGGCATTTTCATTTTCTGTACAGACTTCATCTATTTGCTGCTATGCCAATTTATTACCATACAAGGGCCATTTATGACCTAAGAGTGCACCTTCACTAGTATATGGATGGAGATTGCATCAAACTCATTCACACAGGACCCTGAAGCCTGTGGAGAATACCATTTTTTTTAATTCCATCAGTTTCAGCAAGATTAAAATTTAGGGCCCAGAACTGTAAGGACATAATACTCATTCATTGCACTACCCAGTCCCCTGGGAGAAATAGATTTCAAAAACTTACATCTCTCTAAAATGCAATGCCATAATTAAACCTGACATTAA